GATATAATAGGATCTAAGCCTAGGTCCCTTACTAGATTACTGAATAAGCCTTCCAGTCTGCGGATCAATCTCCTGTCGGCCTTTGAAATCCACTCTCAAGGACTTGGTACCGCTTCGAATCAGCTGCTGAACCCAATCCGGAGCTCCTCGCTACATGAATTCAGTCATTATCCCATAGTAAGTGAAAGATGTCGATTTAACTCACCAAGCCAGCAAAATAACGAAAGATTCCTGGAAGGTAGACTGTCTGGCTCAATCCACTATCGAGTATATCCACAATGGCATCTACAACCGTGTCGACATGAAGAAGCGGCATCAGAAATTTGGACTGGTTCGTGTCGCCTTTAAAAAGCGGTGTTTTTGTGAAGCTCAGCACGGCAACCGAGGTGCGGACCTTCGGGGCATTCTGGACTCGAAGCTCTTGGGCAAGACACTAACTCAAATAAGCATGTTGTAGACCCAAGAATCAAGCAGAGAACAGTGGCCTAATATATCTACCTCATGAAATGCAATCAACCCAGCTTTCGATGCTGCGTAATCAGCTAGTCCCGGAGGCGGGATATAAGCGCTCATCGAGGCCACATTGAAAATATGTCCATGGTTTCGTCGGATCATAGCCGGTAAAAACTCCTTCGACAGGAGAAATGGTGCCAGTAAGTTGGTTTTTAGGGTTATGCTGTTGTCGCTGTAGGTACCCTCGACTACTGTACGCCCGCGTGACAGACCAGCATTGTTCACTGTTACCAGATTGTCAGTCAATTAGGCAATTGCTGAGAGGGGTCCTGCTTAACTTCACTTACCCAGCACAGACGGATCACCAATTTCCGCTCTGATCTTCTCGCAAACACTTGCAATTTCTTTCTCATCGCTCAGGTCGCATTTGTGGTACAGGATGCGTTTGTTGTCTGCGTTAGGATTTTTTTTAGAAAGAGTGCTTGTGCAAATAAGGGATGCAAGCAAAATGTTATTCAGAGTACAAACCAGGATTGTAGGTCAATGGGATGATGTCCAACACAACAACGCGTGCGCCCAGTGCAGCCAGACGCTGAGCGACCCCCGCTCCAATACCACCGCTTCCCCCCGTAACCACGACCAGCTCCTTGTTCCAGTCCCAAGTATGATCCGTAACCCAATTGTTCAAGCTCTTGCAAGTTAACCAATCGTTAAGCCACAAGAGGATACTAGTTGTTGCAGTAATGCGGATCAGTTGTTCGTATGGGACAAGGAAAGCGAGTTTTGGCGCCAGGAATTGCAACACTAATGTGGTAAACGGATGAAATATTGTTTTCCGTAACCCTACTATTATCGGATCGATGTAGAGACCTTCGCGGGGAAGGAAGCCGGTCTTAGCCATTGTCATACGCTTCTTCGAGGGTGAAAGAGAAACAGAACCAACGCTGACGGCTGAATTTTATAATTCACATGTAGACGTATACAGTCTTATTAGGCATGGGGTTGGGGAAATACTAACTAGGTAGACGATCTTTCTTACCCCGCGTGTCCGGGAAGCCTCCAGGTTCGTGACTGTTCCGGGATGGACCCGAATGGGATCCATCTTCCTGGCGATTGCCCGTACCCCACAATGAACCGAGGCCTTCCGAATGGAATGATTAAACTAATAGACAGAGCGATAGGTGTGATGCGGACGAGTACAGACTTATGTCATCGTTGCGACCCTATGTCATATGAAGCTTCGGAACGGTGCCGGAGATCTATCTCTACGAAGCCTGGGGCATCTCGACAGTATATATCATAGCCGCCTCCCCATCTGCTCAATGAGACGGAACGGTTATTACATTTCCTCAGCCGATGGTAAAACTGCATATGTAACATGTGTAAACTTCATAATATGCGCTCTCGCGGTACGAGGATGCTGCGCAGGTTTTCCGAAGACTCTCCTAGCCACAAACAAGTGAATCAGGGGAAATCCTCACGGTTGACGCGGAACCCTCTGTTAGCATTCCACATTATCAGTGTCGATGAGAGCAAGGAGGACCTTCCATACGGTACCTCGTCCAATTTCCCTCTTTGTGGTAGAACGCTGGCAGTCTTCTGGGTACTGAATTCCCACTCTGTAGAAACTTCGAGGCGCCAAAGACTATTACAACGAAGTATAGATGATCTATCAAGTTGATGAACTCTCAAATAACATTCTTTGATATTACGCTGATATATACTGGGAAACAAAAATTGTTGCCGTGGACAGACACAATATAATGAACAGCTCAGTGGACACCAAAACCAGGCAAACTGCATCAACAAATATGTTAAACCAATCAATGCCCCCTTCTTCTCACATTATTCCTGTGAGGTTACTTGGCCAATATGCTGGATCGTACACTGGCCAAGTAAGTTTTGACAATTTCGGGAGACAGGTTTCCAATGTAACCAAGCTGAGCGACCCCCAAGAACCCAATACAAAGAGCAAGGAATAAAGCCTTGGAGAATCTACGTCCCGATGGCTTTATAGTCTTCTGCTGACAGTTAATGATATGATATGTGTTGGTTTAATCCAATTAAATCGAATAAGAGTGCAAGGAAAGTAAACAACGACCCAACCTACCTTAATATGCCAGTCGGACCATGTGGGAAACAGACTCCTCCACCAGTAGTGACCTTGGGTCCACGGATAAGACATGGAGTTCCATCTCTTGTCATTGAGGTACCACTGCAACTTCAATTAGATGGTTATGAAGTTAACTGCAATGCATATCCCACTTACTGATACGCAACCCGCGTTCCAAACGCGTTTATTCAATGAGTCTTGCACCCAGTAGACGTAGTCGTGCTCGGCCTTGGGCTTTAGCTCTACTGATGAGGCATCACCATCCAGAACGGGCTTTAGAACGCGAAGAGCGTAGTTAATCGAGCTAGTATTTATGATTAGATGCGAAGCAAAGGGGACAGGAAGAGGTGGGGGTTGAGATGTTGAACCTACTTCTCAGCGGCCATCATAGCTGATGTGTGTCCGGTTGCAGCATTAGGTCCGAGGAGCATGAAAAAGTTGGGAAAGCCACTAAGAACCGAGCAGTTGTAGGCAGCTGGGCCGTCGTACTTCGTCCAGTGCTGTGACACACTCTCGCCGTTTCGCCCGACCACATCCATGTATGGAATGAATTTGTTAGTCCTGAAGCCTGTCGCGAGAACAATCACGTCCGCCTGAATGAAGCCTTTGTCAGTCTCAAGACCTTCTGCGGTGATTCTATCAATCTTCGCGTCGGTTAGTAGGACTTTGTCACTATGTAGGCTTTCGAGGTAGCCAGGGTCGAAGATTCGTCTCTTTCCAGTTCATGAAGTTAGCATAATTTTTCGATGCTTCGTGAACCCAAGTATAGAAGGAATGCCAAACAAGGGAGGCCGTACCTTGCATCCTACATCAAAGTCCGGAATCAGGAGATCGTGGTATTTCTTTGGACCTGCCTCTCGCATGTATTTCTCTACTTTGATTCGCCGTTTCTCTCGAAGTCTGGCTGCTCCCTTCGTCATCGGAAACAAGCGAAAGTCATTTTCAGCGAGCAAGAAGATGTGAAATCGGTGCAGCTTCATGGCCAAAGGAACGTAGCGGAAGATCCATTGCAGAATCCGAGGATAGGAGAAGTTTGGAGCCGGAAAGATCCAGTGCTTCGTTCGAACGATCTGTGTGAGGGATTTGATCTTTCCCTCGTTGACCAAAGCTGGGACGATCTGGGCAGCAGTGCCTAAAGGACGATCAGTCTGCCTCTTCGGTGGCGATGAGAAATGAACTGAAATTGCATACAGCCATTGCCAATAACAACGACATTCTTCCCTTCGAGATCCACGCTATGATCCCACCGCGCCGAATGGAATATACTCCCGCCGAAGTCTGCAGCACCGGTGATATCACATGGTCGCGGCTCGACAAGCTGTCCAGTTGCTGCAAAGAGGATCTGGCACTCGTGCGTATATTCGAGTCCCGTTTCCAGTTCACGTAGGTATAGAGTCCAGCGATTTACGTCTTCCCGCCACACACTACGGACTACTTCCGTGCCAAAGGTCATCGCTCGACGAAGATTGTATGTGTCAACCACGTTGTCAACGTATTCTTTGATCTCTGTGTTCGAAGGCATAAGCCTAGTCCAGTTGGGGTTCAGAGCAAAGGAAAAGCTGTACAATGCGCTAGGCACATCGCAGCCGCATCCTGCAGTCAGTAATTCAGTAAGTTAACGTAATGAAAACCAATAACCGCAATGGACCAACGGACCTGGATATGTGTTGATATACCACGTTCCACCACTCGTGGGATGTCGTTCGAAGAAGCGGATGTCTTCAAGGTTGTACCATCTCTTTAGCGTTGCTCCTAGGGCTACGGCTGACAAGCCGGCACCAACACAGGCTATCTGGCTATAGGACGGGATATCGGGGGTCTTTGTTGTCATGTCGAGAAACGTGTATGGTTTAATCTATGCATATATTTCTCGGTTGTTTTGGTCTTGATATCGCGTAGATTTAAGTATGAATCCTTTGGGAACAAGCGCGCTAGATGGGGTCCTGTTTTACCCGGAACTGGCCCGCAGGCATAGAATAATCCGAGGTAGAATATGGCATGTGCAATATAGAGTGCGGAGATATCCTTGGAAATGGGGAAAAATTGAGGAGTGCGGCGTGTGGGGTCTGCTAGTACTGAATTAGTCGTGTGTCAGAGGCCTCCACCAGTCTAATCATGTTTCGGGACAGACCCGGATCAGGGGGGTTTGGGGTAGATGATCATTTCCAGTAGTAGCCAGTGATGCATGTTCATGCCGGAGACGCTCCGCTTGTGTTGATTGGAGGTCAGAGTGCTGCAACAGATGGGTCCGGCGACTACACATCTTACTTTATTCATTACTCGAGGACTCCTGATGTTCTGCTCCATACTATTCAGGAAGTCGACCCCAACACAGCAGAATTCAAAGTACTCAAAGGAAAATGAACTGCAAGTGCATACTGCCTTCCGCAGAATACATTTGTCAGCCACATCCAGGGATAAATCGATCCAAATGTCTATACATAATCACTTAACAGAAGCTAACGCAAGCCCTTGAGTGTCAAGGTAAAGTATCGGGGAAGTCAAGCCTCGTCAAGAATCCCAAATCCTCCAGGCTTTGTCCCATACTTCCGGCATATTCCTCCCAATTAAAGAATGGAGCCTGAGTCAAGTCGTGATCCGGGTGATCAAACGGGGTGTGAGGTTGAGCCATGTTATCTGAATGTAGCGAAGCAGTACCAGCAGTGTGACTTCCTGTTTGTTGCACATCTGCAGGAACTGCTTGCCGATACAAAGCTTTGAGGAACTGAAGCGTGTTGTTCGCTGAGCGTCTAACTGTGGCCATCGACTCCAGAACCCCCGTAGCTTCTCTCCACGCAACCCTGGCTTTATCCATAGTAGACGGGTCTAGCACTGAAGGGGAGGAGAAGGACATGAGGAGAACTATGGCAGCTGTTGACACATCTAAACCCGGGATATCAGTACAGATGGGAAGGTAGATATCAAATGGCAAGCGAGGGCGTCATACAGAATCCATTGTACCACCATGCACCGGTGGCGTTTGTATGGTACGTCTCATGGACTACGTGCGTTAAGTCAATAGCTGCCATTACGCAAGCGATAGCAGATTTATTAGCTGTAGAGAAGTATAACGGGCTCCGGGTTGTGGAACTGTGAGCCGAATCTGCCCTGAAGCCATTCACACCTGCAGATTCTCGCTTGCGTACTCGTTCTGAGTAGAGCCGAGTAAACATCGGACGATGGAGCAGGAGGTGGAGATGCAAGTATCTGTATATCTAGGTCAGAGATATCTACCGATTTAGAAATAAGACTTGAGAGGTGCACCTCGCGTGAAGAACATTTCTTTGCTGGGCGATTGCCTGGTTCAGGTTTCCGTCTGAATTTAGTTCCGGCGTGTCCGGATCCCACTTAAGGCATGAAGGCAAATTAGCCTCGAACGAAGTCAATTCTTTTTCGATTTCAAGAATTGTGTCCAAGCCTCCCAGGCTCTTCGTCGACACCTGTGGTCGACCCTGGCGTGTCCGACCACACCAAGCGTAATATACATCGGATAGGATCCTGTCTAGGATGTTGTAGAGCTTGATGACCTCAATATAATATGACAGCAGTGACGGCTCTCCCGGCGGATCTTGTCGAGACAACTCCGAATCTTCTGGTGGAGGGAGAGGAGCTAGATGGGTGGTCATGGTAGGTCGGCCATGCGTCATGCTAAGAGTGCTGTAGTATGGATCAGCACGATCTAATATAGGACCGCTAAAAGTGGCAGGGCTTACACATCCATCATCACACAGCCGTGCCACGTTCTGCGTCGAATATCGGATTCCAAGGGCGATAAGCTAGCGAGAATATCCGACTCATGGAGTCCCAATCCTAGAGCAACCCGGCAGGCAACACCAACCGAATGCCAGCATCTGCTGGTCTAGGGGGAACTCTGCAGAAATAGCGCTGTTATCAATAGTGTCTGAACTACCCCAAGGGTATTGATATCAAGAAAGTCAAGTCCGATGAAGCGTTTGGACCTGAGAAAAAAGCAATTCGCAACAGACTCGACGTCTTCAATGTCTGAAAATTGACAGCCTAGAGCAAAAATAGAATTCAAGGCAGCATGAAAGACTATTGATCTAGGGCCGGACTCCGCGCCGGAACCCAGTCCAATTCTCAAGTCTGTGAGAGGTATCTTAGCCTCATCTTCAGCACGCCAGAGATTTCGATAGGCTGCTTCAAACGCGGGGCGGTGAAAGAACGGATATAGTGTATATACATGATCGAAAAAACATCGGACGAGGTGGTCTGCCAGCGTGCGCGGTGGGAGGGCAAAATCGTCGAACCGATACTCGGTAAAAGTATCCTGCAATGTGCTAGATACAAGTTCGGCACTAGAAGCATTTGCTGGCCGTGAAGGCATTGACTGCCAGGCAAACCTCATGAGCGAAGCAGTGGATGAACTACCATAAAATTGGAATCGGGAGGACTGCCTCCTGCTTTCAGCATCCGGAGCTGTTATCTGCCCCATGCCCGTGACGTGGGCTTCCCCATCGTCGAACAACGGCGACTCATAGGATCCTATATTTGGTGAGCACTCTGTATTCTGTTCCACTACCAGTCTGGACCGGCTGTTTTCGCTTTCACTGCGTTCAGCTAGCACCGGTTGCTCCGGAGGTATGCCAACCCCGAAACCTGTAGCGGTAGGGACCCGCTCATCAGGTTCCCTAAATGAGGTGGCGACAGCCATGGGAATGCTGCTCGTCTCCACTCGTATTTCATCGCCTCTGTTGAGCTCGCTATGAGGTTCCAGTTGGGCCCGAAGGCCCAGTGAACTGTCGATTGATAACCCAGCCGTCAAACAGACATTTTCGAGTTCTCTAATTCGGAGATGAAGGGTCTGGAAGTACCTGCTTTGCGTTAGCCCCTTCATGCATTGCGCTCATGTTCCCGGTTGTTGGATGAACTCCTCATCAAACTTACTCGTCTCGGCTGGCCGTCCGGGTGTTATCCGGGTTGTAGAGACACTGGTCAATCCGATAACATCGCCTCTTGCATGGCCCACAGATGGGCTTGTTCCCGTCGCAGCGAACCTTCTTTTCTCTACACGAGTCGCATGCCAGAGCAACCTTGCGGCGTGCGCCATTCCGTCGCTTTGGGTCACCCGATGCTTTCGGGGGCATTTTGTGAAGACGGGGGGCACCCGGTGCTGTGGAGCAGGTCCTGGGAAGGCCTTATCAACAAAATCCCAGTCCGAAAGTCCGGGTCCTTAGGAAGACACAATCTCCAAGTTGCAAGTTCCAACTTGGGGATGTGAAGAGTAGTGGTCTGTTCATCCAGCCGGGAGTGTTCCGGTGCCATTTGCGGGTGGGGGCTTTTCGGAGGCCAATAGCAGTAACGGTAGCCAAGATCGTCAGTTCTTAGGAACGGCAGCATTCCGCTGTTTTTTCGGGTCCGTTCCAGACATGCGCTTGCTAAAATGGATACGCTTCTGAAACTCTCGTATGCTCTAGCAGAGTTGGGTGGGCTATGATGGGGTAATCTGAAACCCCTGAACGCGTAGAAAATGCCTTTTCTCTTCTACTCTTGAACATGTTTAAAGCCAAACTTTTATAGTGGTAGACGAAAAGGCTAAGTAAAAATGACACCCAATCTGACCAAAGTACGCTTCTTTTTTAACCTCGTGCTCTGTGTCCTGCCACGGGCCGCTATTAGAATTCCGGCGGCTGTTGTTCGTGCGTGCTTCAAAAAGTTGCCATTAGGATCGTCTATGTGGAATGGGTTCGTTGGCGCCCTCATGACCAACACACCCCCAGATCAGTTGCAGGCAGTGCTCCCATCTACGCTAGAGACATATGAAGCATGGGTTCAGTCTCATGGGGTTAGCCGTGCGGTGGATGTCTTAGCAGCGGACAATGCCACTCGTCTGCTTTGGATAGGGCCAAGTGTATCAAAGAAGGTACTTCTTTTCTTCCACGGTATGATATTCAATCCCCAACGCCGCCGTCTCTACACATGATTGCTGAGTGTTGACTAGGTGGCGGATATGTGATGCCACTTTCTGAAGCGCACTTGGACTGGATGGCATATCTACGAACCGAGGCGGTCAACGCTGGGGTGGATATGAGTGTGTGCATTCTGGAATATGGTCCGTGATGAATATCAAAAATGATGTTACGTACGTGCTGAGAATCTAGACTTGATACCGACCAGCAAATATCCCAGACAGATGAAACAGGCAATTTCGGCATTACAGCGTCTACTTATTTCCGGGTATAGACCTTCTGATGTAGGTTGGCTTGCAGGTCGGTCTTCTTGGACCAAAGAGCTAATCTGAGCTCGCACAGATCGTCTTCGGAGGAGACTCTGCTGGAGGCCACCTGTCGCTTTCCCTCATGTCGCATCTCCACTGCCACTATCAAGCCAAGGAGGGGGCAAAGGATGTCATTCACCTACAGGGCCCTGTGAAAGGATGTTTTCTTGTGTCGCCGCTAGCATCGTTTGACTTCAGTACACCTTCCTACCAAAGGTGGTTCAGTGCGGATGTCCTTACTCGCAAAAATGTAGACGAATGGGGACGTTATCTTGTCGATGATTCTCCGTGGGACGAGGAGATATCTGCTGGATATGGCTGGGGAATGGCCCTGGATGTTCCGGAAAGCTGGTGGGACGGTTTCACGGCTGTGGATCATATTCTTGTGACCGGCGGCTGCGAAGAGGTGTTCAGCGATCATATTCGACTGTTGGGCAAGGTCTTGAAAACAAAATGTAAGGGAAACGTGGCCTTGCACATGAGTAATGAAACCCACGATGGACCGCTTATGGACTTTGGGGCTAGAAGGCCGCCTAGTGCAACTACAAGGGCTATCAAAGACTTTGTTATAGCTTGCTTAAAGGATTGAAACGGCCATCATACGTTTTCATGCATTTCCAACTATCTCTGCTAGCTTAAGGTTTCTATACTCGACGTTTGGCGTCTTCCAAAACCTGCAGTGATTCTCCTTCGCGCAAGATCAAATTAACATGGTCCTCACTTCTTGGGGTTACCTTGACTGGAAATGGTTCATCGGTTTTGTGGTGATTGAGACTTTTTGGGTTAAATGGTCCCGCCTGCCAGATGTCAGCATTAACATTGCTTCCTCATCAATACTTTGGAGATAACTTACTGCTGCATAATCATAACAGAATACTAGGCGTGCCACATTGATGAACAGTCCTCTGAAAGCCAGCCTGTAACCAACGCAGATCCGGCGGCCTCCGCCAAACTGCCACAGGCCATGTGCAGCGTCAGTTTCATGTCCATCGAGCCACCGCTCAGGCTTGAATTCCTCTGGGTCCTCGCATTCGTTGCATACTGGAACCTCGTTGATTACGAAGCCAACCCCTGCCGGAAAGTGGTACCCCTCAAACTCCATATCCGAGGTAAGCACATGATCAGGGGTCAGAACGAAAATGGGTCTCCACCGCAGGAGTTCCTTGATCAAGGCGCAAATGTAGGGCATATTTTCAAGGTCGTCGATCCCTGGCAGACGGAGACTCCCATCATTACAACACAATCGGTCGACCTCTTCCCTGGCCTTTTGGAAAACCTTCGGATAGCAAAGAGCTGCCATAGCGAAAATGTTCAATACTTCTCGGGTCGTATCGGATCCAGCCTCCAGAAGCTGCAGGGCAACATACATGGCTTCCTGATCGTCCCCAGTAAACTTGGTGTCCGGGTGCAAAAGAACGTCGCGAACCCATGACGGAGGCGCTGTTCCTTGCTCTACCTTCTCTCTAACTGGAATCCACCATGATTTGTAGACCTCCTCGTTCCAATCACCGAGCTTCTCCCAGTGCTTCCTCCATGGCTGCAAAACGCGAGGGAGATGATCAAGTTCGGGAAACCAGTCAATCAGGCTGGATCCGATGCTGCCCACGAAATAGGTAACAACATTCTGTAGGTCCTCAAGCTCTTTACCTGATTTGACCAGCCGCTCCCCGAGCGCAATGCGGTGGACCACGGAGTTTGCATACCGATAGTGATGACGGTACCATCTCTCCGGTTGGAACAGATATTCAGCAAGCAGTTGGGTACTTTCCAGTTCCTGCCATGATGCATACTGCTTTAACGCGGTGCCACTGAGCAGCGAGTGCATGACTCGTCGCTTCTCAGTCCATCCCGAGGGAGGAAGCAGAAGAGAGCGCCCGTTGCGGCTAACAATGCCACTGGCAACGGGCATAGGGCTTCGGCCGTTTGTGAGCGTACCGCGTTTTGCGATAATTTCCGAGACCACGCGCTTGCTATTGAGCAAAATCCACGTTTTTGATCCGAGGTGCAGAGTAGTCATCTCGCCATATTTCGCGAGTTCATTGTTCTATGTTCAATCAGTTCTCCATAAATAATAGTCATCAGGAATCCCACACACTGTTATGTGATCTTGGTCATCGCGAATTTTGCGAACGTCTAACAGGCTTCCGAATATCGGTATTCCTTTGGGGCCAGGAGGGAGCTTCCATCTCTTTCCATGGGGAGGTCTGCGTTTCCCGACCGGAGTAAAAATCTCCTGAACGACGAGGAATATTGTTGCTAAAAAAGCTGCTATAGTCATGAGGGTTGCCGAGAGTGGATTTTCTTTGGCAAGCCCGGAGATCTGGGCGTGGATTGAATTGCTCATGGCGCCGTGCGTAGGTTGGTCAACAGAGTGGAGGGATATCGAATTCCTGGAATCATGAAAGACTCATCCACTTTGAATTTCAAGGACATATTTTGCTGCTTCGTCCATCTTTATCCTGGCGACAATTTGGCTTCTGCTACGGAAGATCCGGCCCTGTGATGATGAAGTTCGGAAAGAACCCGATGTGGGCGACGAGCGTCCGGGTCCGTCCCGGTTCCCACATGGGTCCTTTATTAACGTAGCGGGGGCGCAGAGTGTTTCGTGGAACGATTGCCCCCGATGCCTTCTACTTTGACTCTTATCATACTCATTCTGACCATATTTTTGTTCCAGCCTAGCTTCTGTGGCATCATGGGTGAGCACGTTCTCGACTGGCTCCGGGACAAAGCCATTGGATGGAGCCATGCGCCGCCAGTGAACAAGATCGATACTCACCATCATTTCGTTCCACCTTTCTATGCACAGGGTAATAGCCACTCGTTCGGAATCCATGATACCTCTCAGTTAACCTAATTACAGCTTTGGAAGAACAAGGGGGCGACCCCAGTGGCTGGCCCACTCCCAGCTGGAACGCTATAGCATCTAAACTGCTAATGAAGCGAATTGGTGTGAAAACTGCGGTGCTTTCGGTGACAGCGCCAGGGGCATGCATTGCCCCAGAGCGTCAATTGCGCGCTCAACTGGCCCGAAGAATGAATGAATATGCGGCAGACCTGCGGAACAAAGACCCCGACCACTTCGCTTTTTTCGTATCTCTGCCCGATATACTGGATACCGAGGACGCGCTCGCAGAAATTGCTTATGGACTAGACACCTTGCATGCTGACGGTGTCACTCTGTTTACGCGCTATGGTCCTTCCAACACCTATCTTGGTCACAAGGACGTTGAACCCATCTGGGCTGAACTCAACAGGCGAGGCTGTGTCGTCTTCGTCCATCCCACCCACCCTGTCGATATTCACCCCGTCAACCCGAAGCTACCCCAGCCGGCTATCGACTATCCTCACGAAACGACTCGCACAGCAATGGACATGATTACCAGTGGCACCAGACTAAAATACCCAAACTGTAAAGTCATCCTGTCGCACGCAGGCGGGGCCTTGCCGTATCTCATCTCCCGGGTGACGACACCGATGAAGAAGGCTCCAGACGTTGCAGTCTCATACCGCATAGGAACAACTCATGACAAGGCGATGGAAGCATTCCGCAGCTTTTACTTTGATCTGGCGTTGAGTTCATCGCCGCAGGTTCTGGATATGCTATTGAGGATGGTTCCACACGACCACATCTTGTATGGAAGTGATTTCCCATATGCGCCGATCACTGCATACCCAGCGTTTTTGGAGGAGCTGGAGAACTACCATATGAATCAGGAGTTGCGGGACATGATCAATTTCAAGAATGCCTGGAAACTCTTCCCGCGTTTGGCGAACAGGACTGGCCCGGCTATATAGTTAATGGCTCAATTAATTATTATATGTTTTCCTCTTTCCTGTCGAATTTTGATACATCGTCATATCCAAGTAGCAGAGCTGACTCTCTGATTTACAATGTTGAAGGCTACTTAGGTTGATGCATTGGCTAATTCCGTCAGAGTAGCCATCAAACAAACGCAGAGGGTCTTGACCATGGCCATTGTGCATCATGCGAATAGTCTCAGCAACTGGTGCATTTATTTGTTCCATTTTGAAAATTTGGTTTGCTTCCCATAGGCGAAGAACATAGAAGACAAGTATAAATGCCTGGCATTCATGAGTAGTCTGATAGTTGTCGTCCGTGCTTTTGAGGTCGACCATAAATATAAATATTTTTTTCTGGTAAATATTGACTGCAACAAAACCACTTAGTAACATGACGAAGCACTAACCTCTAGACCAACCACGATATACCGCGTCTAATCAGCCACTCGACGGAAAGACATGTGTTCCAATATATCATTATGCGCATGTTCTTGAAGTCGATTAGTTATAATCCACCTCCAGAAGAACCTCGGAAAGGATGCCTCGGATTTGGTGCAGAATGTGGTTACGAATCTCCTGGGCTGACTCATTCTAGTCGTGTTAGTGGTGAATAATTAAGAAAGGTCAACGTTGTTGGGCAGCCCAATGCTAGTAGAAAGAAAGTTGAAGTTTAACAACTCATCAAAGCTATTACTCAAGCGGGCTGAGAAATATATATGTTTCGTGTCTAGGCTGTCTACTGTTTGACCTGAGATTAATTTTGCATATATAAAATGAACCATCGGGTGAAAATGTGAATAAGATATATTCATTGTTCGTGTTGCACTTCGGATACTAAGGGAAATTTTAGGTTATTGAAATTTGGGAAGAGTAAGGATACCTCGGGAGCAGCAATAACTATAGAAACGAAATGACTATCGATAGTAGCTTTTCCGGATGCCTTGCATAAGTAAACATGCTTACCGCCCTGCTGCTGCTGATGCTGGATCGGGAGCAAACAAAGACGGAATGCTGCAGCAGTCGCCGCCCCCTGTTTTCAATGTCAAGAGAGAGACAACCCATCTCTTTCTGCAATCATGAACCTCAACTCCTCAATTAGGTTGAAATTGCGTTGTAATCTCAGGAATTTATTGCCATGTTTAAGTCATGCGTCACAAGCTTGTAACCCTCGTTTCCCTTTTTCTCTCATGAGAACAGTGACTTCACAAGGGCTTCTTCCACGACAGTTCCCTACTTCGGGCTATGTAACCTTGGATCCCCAGGATAGAATTGAGGAAGAGACTTTACCATCTTATAAGCCGGAGAATTACTATCCTGTTTCCATTGGCGAAGTTTTTGGTTCTAGATACCAAGTGGTTTCAAAGCTAGGATATGGCACTTCTTCTACTGTTTGGCTTTGCCGGGACCTTCAGTAACGTTTTCTTAAAATGGGTGCATGATCATGTTTCTAATTGCTTATAGGGAGGGGCACTACTATACCCTCAAACTATGTGCAAAGGGTGTAAGCTCTGATCGAGAAATCGCTATCTCAGAACATTTGGAGAATTCCGTCAGTGAGACCAGAAATAAGATGCTCCGCTTGGTCCTTGACTCCTTTGATGTTGTTGGACCAGAAGGGAGCTTATTTGTCTGCCTGATATACCAGCCTCTTGGTATGAGTTTCACTGATTTTCAAGATTTGCTCCCCGATCAAAGGTTCTCGAAGGACCTCATCCAAAGAAGTATGCAGCTTATATTAATAGCATTATCTTCTATGCATGAAAGCGGTGCTGTCCATACCGGTAAGGCTACAATAATAAGCGGACAGGATGATAACTATAGACAATGTGAGCTGATGATTGAAGATATTTCACCGAACAATATACTTCAAGGAGTGCAAGATAGCTCTATATTAACCAAGATGGAGGAAGATGAATTAAAACGGCCGATTGCCAGAAAGGTCCTGAGCGACCGGAGTATTTACTACTCCCGCCCCATGCCTTTATGTTCAGGTCTTCCTGTGGTCTCCGATCTAGGTGAAGCTAAATTCGGTAAAGAAAAGTACTATGGTGATGTCATGCCAGGAATTTATCGCGCGCCAGAAGTCATTCTAGGTATGGGATGGGATTATAAAGTTGATATCTGGTCAATTGGCAACATGGTATGTGCTATATATGACACTGAGACAATCCGAGTAAGCAGGCCTAGCTAATGTATAGAAAAGGTTTGGGATCTTGCAGAGGGTCATCATCTTTTCTTTGCCAAAGAAAACGGAACTCTCAGCGATGAGCAGCATCTGGCTGAGATGGTATCTCTAATGGGCCCTCCGCCCCCAGAATTCCTAATCAGGAGTAAGCGATGCGAAAGATTCTGGGATGCAGAAGGTATGTCTCTTGGTATTGATTAACTACTATCGATGTGCTTGCTAATAGTGGTCTTAGGCAATTGGAAAGGCTCTTTATGTATACTAGAACAGACTTTTGGGCTCAGAGAGCTGCATTTTTCTGGGGAGGACAAAGTTCTTTTTCTAAACTTCTTGCGCAGGATATTTCGATGGCTTCCGGAAGAACGCCCGACAGCAGAAGAGCTTGTGTATGATGATTTTCTAATGCAGCCGATTATGGCAAAAAGAGATCAATAAGTTGGGGTCCCAGATTGGGTAGGATATTGGAGATAGTATGTGTCTACTCATAGGAATTGAATATTTTACTTCGACGCTCTGACCACTACAATTAACCCAGCATAATACTATACTACTAACCCCGATTTATGGTGGGCTGACGGAGGGAAAGCTCAAGGTTGCTGTTGGAAAGCGGGTATTTCACGGCCTGATAAAGATGAGTACCGCGTTGGCAGAAAAAGAGATGCTCATTTTACTGCTGCTGCACACTGATCCTAAAATGCGAGCAACCATATCCAGTTTCCCTCTACTAGGATATTTCTAGCCGAGTTATCTGATATGTCATCGACTCTATGACCCTGAGCTTGTTGGTCTCCGAAATCTTCGATGTAAACGAACTCCACCTGAGCAGTTGACTTTTCCACTTCCACTGGCTGGTCAAGTTTAGGGCTTGCTTTCTCAAGTTTCTGGGATTGGGCCTTTTTTCTCTGAATCAAGCACGGTATGAATCATGATCGTCCTCCTGGGGTGACAATCGCGCTCTGATTTATGGGTCGGTGGACGCCATACGAGATCTACGTATTCGAAATGGGCCTGGTGCCAGAAGTGCACGAAGTAGGGAGTTCTATATTCGGGCCGCTGGGAACCAGATACTAGGTCAAACTTGAGCTCGGCCCGGAGAGTTGCGTAACCGGGCCGAGCATATCATCGAATGCCATCGCGAGGTGGAAGCCAATACACGAATATGGCAAAGTTCGGGAATGGAATGCTAGGAAACAGAGAACAAAGAAACTCGGCCAAGTGGCGGGGATATTTAGGTTTGCGCTTATTCACCCAGAGACGTTCCGAGCAGGTCTGGGACATATGCTTCCAGGAATGCAGGGAACATACCGTAGGGCTGGTCGGTTGAAATGGATAGAAATGCTGCCTAGCTCGTATCGTTGTTAGAGGGCTTTTCTCGAACTCTATCTCCGTTCCGTACGCACAAGATATAATTTTGCCATTCGGGCCACAATATTCTATCGAGAGGGCCGTACTAATTTCTGTTTCATCGTGGGATGTTCAATCACTAGAAATGCTCTCTGTATATCGGTAGTTGACTCAATTGCCCATTCAGTCTTTTCGATAAATCCTTTCAAGGCTTGCCTTCTCCTTATGTAGACATCAGCGATTACGGATGGGAACCCCTAAGAGCTAAAAGCGGCCCTATATCGGCCCGACCAGAACAACAACCCGATTGACCTTCTCGATAGGTTCGCTAGATATATACCTGGCGATGGTTCCTCCAATTAACTCGCAGCCTTAACTAGTGGCTGATAATTATCTCCCCCGCATTCGATCATCGCAGCTCCCCGCATCGGCCTTACAATCCGTAAACCTGGGGAAAATGTGGAGAACGCGTGGTGCTATACATCATTGCGTCGATGTTGGCCCAATCTAGACTCGTATTCCTAATGTTCGGTAACTACTGAGCAAATGCCGCATGCTATCAGCTGAGCTGGTGTGTGAGAAATGTGGCTTGCCGCGCATCGCGGGGGTCAAGCGCGGCGATTCGTGTTGCGTTGTTGGGAGGGTTTTTATTGATATATGGTTGCAGCCTGCTTCGGTTTCCCTTTAGTTCAATTTTATCTGATATCTTTCAGACTCGATTTGTTATAGCTTATGTGAGCCACCATGTCATCTACTGATATTGAGAAACCTCCCAGTGTCGAGCGGATCGAGGATATCGATAAGTCTGGTATTAATGATGTGGACTATGATGAGGAGTTTACGCCTGCGGAGCAGCGCAAGATCATTCATCGGGTTGATCGTCGACTGGTGACTATGGCTGGGTTGGCGTATTGCATTTCGCTTATGGATAGGACGAATCTTAGTATGGCTGCAGTTGCTGGGTAAGTCTATTGAGTGGTTGATGGATAGATTATGCTGTGTTGGATCGATTGTTGACTTAAAATTAGCATGACGAAGGATTTGCAGCTTGGAGTTGGGACTCGTTATGTGTGTTCTACACTGTCATTTGGGGATGCTTATTCTGACGAGGTCTAGTCTGTCGTGATTCTCGTTTTCTTCATACCCTATGTGGTCTTTCAACCTCCGATGACGGTCATCATCAGGAAGGTGGGCCCGACGTTGTTTCTGGGAACGCTGGTCATATCGTGGGGAGCAATTCTCGTAGTACGTTGACTCCATTCCCTCAATTGTTCCTGGTGTTAAGGTCTGATGATGGCTGCTTCAGGGAATGGGATTCGTCAAGTATTGGAAGCAAATGGTCGCAATCCGTGTACTCCTTGGTGCGTTGGAAGCAGGTAAGTGTGACTTGGTGTGACACAATTCCTTGCCATGTGAAACTGACTTACTTGTCTTCTTTCAGGTTACTTTCCTGGCTGCGTTTACCTCCTCTCGAGTTGGTATGTCCGATGTAAGTTACGCAGACCAACACCCATGTTTTCTGACTGACAACACAGATGACATCCAAAAGCGATACTCGGTCTTTTACCTTATCGGCTGTGTAGCCTCAGCACTAGCCGGGGTACTTGCCTTTGGTTTGATGCAAATGGGAGGCATTCAGGGCATCTCGGGGTGGAGATGGATATTTATAATGGAGGGTGTGGTATGTTTTTGATCCGAACCAGGAGACATTGTGTTAATGAAGCCTAGATTACGGGTGTTATTGGACTGTTGACCTTTGTCTTCATGGTTGACTTTCCCGAAAAGGTACACAAGTCCTGGAAGTTCCTAAATGAGAGGGAAAGTGCATTCATCGTCCGACGCATCAACCGAGACCGTGCCGATGGTAATGGGGAGCCATTTACCTTCAAGCGATTCTTTAGCCCTGCTCTTGATCTGAAAATCTGGGGTTTCGCATTGATTTGCCTGTTAGTTCTCTTTACACCACTAATCCTATCAAGATCTGACAACAGGCAGATGCAGCACAACCGGGGCATACGCCATCGCGTACTTTCTCCCCATCATCCTCCAAGACGGAATGGGCTTCAGTACCGGTGCCGCACAGTGTCTGGTCGCACCTCCCTACGGCTTCGCGGGCATCGTGATGTATACAACAGCCTGGGTAAGCGATCGGTATCGTATACGGGGACCAATAGTAGCCTTCAACGCCGTAGTCGGCATCATCGGCCTTCCGCTGATGGGATTTGCTAAAGGCAATGCAGCGCGATACGTGGGAGTATTCCTGGTGGTTGCGGGGGCGAATTCTAATATCCCCGCTGTCATGGCCTATCAAGCCAACAATATCCGGGGTCAGTGGACGCGCGCGTTTTGCAGCGCCACGCTAATTGGAGTTGGAGCCATTGGTGGCATCCTCAGTAGTTTGGTGTTTCAGTCGAAAGATGCGCCAGAATATAGACCGGGAATATGGACAACTATTGCGTGAGTTTTTTCCTCTCTTATTATTTTTAATATGATTTTTGGGTGCGTTTGTTGGGTGCACCAAGCTAAGTGTGATACAGGTGCAACCTTGTTACGATGATCACCGTGGCTGCTTTGAGTGTGTGGTTCCGATATGCGAATAAGCAAGCCGATCGGGGAGAGCGTGTTATCGAGGGGTCCGCCGATTTCCGGTATACTATCTAGGAAGGAAAAGTAGGGTTTTTATATTTGATTTGATATTGTGTGGATTTGGGCTGGTATCTCTGTCGGATGGGTTATGAAATTACTACTGTGTATTCCGTTAATGTTTGTGCCGTCAAATACTGGAGATAGCCAATGATGTGGAGCGCAATGGAATTGCCCGTCGGGAAAGCAGCCGGGGTGTTCGTGTTCTAGATCGGGAGCTGCACCCTACTATCCATATTCTTGCATAATTACTGCATTGTGTAAGCAAGGATGTGCAATGCCCATAATTATCAGATGAGTAAGTTTTTGGGGCACCAATGAACAGCTGAGACCAGTTGTACATACACAGTAATGTAAGTCAGAGACTGGAATAAAAAGTTCATATTGCAACTGCTGCAGCGCACAGCTCGCAAGGGGGACTCTTACCGACGGGCCCAGCTCCACGGGGAAAGTCATTATTGCATCACCGGGGAACGCTATCGGAGGAGCTTCCATTGTGGAGGGAGGCTGTTCTTTTCCTCCATTCAACATTTTGTATAGATCAATTGGTGAGAAAATTAGCAGTGGGGCATCTGCTCAGTGAGATATATTTAGTCCGCCACAGATTATCTGTAAGCATCAAATATAACGAAAGAAACATTGCAAGAATTGATCAAACAGATAAATGCAGGCAAGCATTTCCCGCGGGAAAGTGAATCTTATCGCGGGCTTATCGCAAATGGCGGGGCTCCATCGCGAGGGACCGGAGCTGTATCTCGTCTTCTAATTGGTCCGGGGACAGCGTTATCGGCCGGACAGGCAGTTTCCCGACGCGAGTATCCGTGGCGCCCGCGGTCGAGGAGGATTAATTATTCTTGCTATCTGCTCCCCTCCAGTCTATTCTTTTCTTTTTATCACTCATCGTCGCGATTAATTTCATCTTCTCTCCTCTCTTCTCCTCATCTCCCTTACCTCCTTCTATTCAACTGTGTTGCGCAATCTCATGTGCTGAAGTCTCGCGCAACCGGGTCTATACCTCCCCTTCCCTAGACTCCCCTCCTACCCACTCACCTACCTACCGTCCGCCATTTCTGAAATCGCTGGACTAGCTCAATTGTAGGTATGGCTGCCTCTTTGTGCGCTCTGCGTGGCACTCGCCAGCTGGCGCTGCGCTCTCGTTTGCGCGCTGCTCCCTCGCCAATTGCGGTGCGGAGAGCTTCTCCCTTGATTCGTTCCCTTCACACCACCACACAGCAGTCGCCCTCTGCACGACGGCCCGTCTACACCAGCTCCGTCGCGGATCATGGCGTGCCTCATCCCCCGGATCTTTTCCAACCCCTCGATACCTTCCCCAGACGTCATATTGGCCCCAACCCCGATGCTGCCAAGGAGATGCTTGCCACCCTGGATCCTCCGGTAGCGTCGCTCGATGAGTTCGTCAAGCAAGTGCTGCCGGCGGACATTCTGTC